TATACATACAAGTTGTCAAGCATTGCAAGAAATATTTTCATCATTAAGCATGATCAAAACATCAATCTGCAGATGTCTCTCAATGCATATCCACTTCTGGCACTGCTGTAGGCCAAGGAGGAACTCTTTTCTCCAACATGTCCAGAACTCATTCGCCAAATGTTAAACATGCCTCCAATGCTTTCTTCAATAGACATCTGCTGGCTGCCACTCACCTGGTGGAGCAAGAACAACCTTTTATTTCATCATAAGCAAAATAATGATTAGGAGTCATGGGGCTTGGCGAATCTGGGTCGGCAAGCTGGTTGGCGGTCAAGGGGCAACTTTTGACTATGACCTCTGTGTCACCCATCAGGGTCCTAAAGGACTCTGTCTAGCTGTTTTCCATTATCCTGAAGTGGAGATGAAAGATGAAAGGACGTTAGGTATGGATCTGATTTTGCACTCCCTCACATCTTTCATGGGGCTTGCTGCTGAGATGTTCATCTTAAAGGAAAACCAATCGCACCGTTCTTCCAGAAGCTTTTTGTGGTCTATTTTCAGCTCAGGCTTGCTAAAGTTCTTTGAGAGCTCCCACGAAATTTGTTCCCTGGTCACTCCGTAGCTGGCAGATGGAACCAAGACAACTTATAGGTCATCTTAGGACATTGATGAAGGACCCAGTCTCAAGGTAGTTTTGAGGTGTATGGCTCTTGAGGCCATGCTAGTGAAGAAATGAAACACCAAGGGTGGCCCAAAAAGCCTTTAATAAGATGGAGGTCTGGAATGAAGTAACAACTCTTAAGCTCGCATTCTGGAGCACATCTAGTAGAATCTTACTACAAAGAATCAAACATTCTGATACAAATTGGCTCAGATACCTTTCTTCATCATATTTGTTCGAAGTTCGGTTGAGTTGCATATTTTAAAAACTTGAAAATCTCTGGAACGAAAAGAGATATTTTAAAATAGTAAACAGCATTTTTCTTCTCATACAGACTAATTCTTTATGTTTTAAAATGGGTTACGTATGAAAGATACAAATTTTGTCATAGTAGTACTTTCATGCAGAAGGAAATTACGCTGGCAACTATCAATTAACTGTTTATCGCCCAGAATCCATTTGCAGTTGTGAAAATGTATGACAATCAGCATCGTAATGTGACTATCTCATGGCAGGATGATGGAGAACTCTATCTCATCAGTCAAGTTTGCACTTCTGAGATGTCCATCAAGATGCAAAATTTTGTTAGAGTCTACAAGCTTATCAAGCTTGCACAGCATGCTGAATGTTTTTATGCCAGCCTTTGCTGAGCAAAGACTGTACTGTTGGGGTCATAATTTTCTTGCTTCATCTTAAGGTTTTTATTTTGTCTATAAAAGCTTTACTCTGTGCCGCATGAATCATTGCAAAGTCTGCATTTTCCAAATTGTTGGGCTTTGAAGAATAATCTTGTTAAAGGTTAGTGATAGGTGGACTCTAGGGTGTGGTTATCTAAGGGAGGTGGTCTGTTGTTGCTCCCACTATGTCCCATCCTAACAAGGTGCAAACTGCGTAGGGCTCCTCACTTTTGCCTCTCAAGACCTCTGTTGGTTTGATAGTTTAAGAACAGCTACAACCAATGACAGGCCAATTTCGACTTTGTTATGGTATGGTGGGATTCAATCTTTACCTGACATGACCTACAGAAGCACATAAACCTTGACTGTTTTTAATGGGCTATCTTTGTGGAACAAAGTGACTTGGATGGTTCAGCAGTTGGTAATTACGTTAGCAGGTTCTGAGGATGAATTGTGCACTACCATGATTAAGTTCAAGCTAGCAGAGTCTGGGAGTGGCAGCTTCTCACCAGGTGCTTCTTTGTTACTGGAGGCTTGGTGATTGGCTGGTAACCTGGAGTCTGGCTGTTGACTAATTGTTTTCATTACATTGCAGGAGTGTGTGATGACGTCTTCGGCATTCTTTGGAGGTTGATGTTTCAACATCCTCATGACATGTGATCATAGCAAAGACCACTGCTTCAAATTAACTGACATAGACTGTTTACAGAACTCTTCAGAAACTTGCTGCACTTGACAAGAGTGTCCTGGCCATCACAAAGGGCTCAGGTCTCATCTATTTGATCTGCTGATGGTTTTGACAAAGAGGTGAAAGTGTTAGGTGGTTGGGTGGATGATATCGCGAGAGTGCTTGCACTCTATTGCTGTCACCTTTGTTTGGTCTCTTTCTCTGTCCCATTCTGAATGTGGTGTCTGACTTCTTTCTCTGTATTTAACCCTTTAACCCGTTTAACCCTTGGCCAGTTTTCTGGCCAAGTGAAAAATGTAAATGGGCTAAACTAAGTGATTGACCTAAGGAGTCTGGTTCTAGTTAACCATTACCTTGAGGGGGTCTAGCAGTTTTTCAATATTGCCTAGAGGGTTGCAACTTGAAGTTTCCTGGATGAAAAGCACACAGCTTCGCTTTAGTTTCAGAGACATTCTGCTTTCAAACTCCAAATAGAAGATTGTCCGCATAGTCACCATTTATAAATCAGGGTAAAATGAACTCTGGAAGTGACAATGTTAATTCCAGTGGCAGTTCTGATGAATCTGAAGACTGATAGCCTATCCAATATTAGTGAACAACAAAATAAAAGGATATATCTTTTTATTCCTGGGGGTTTTCTTTGTGTTAACCCTTCTAGGATATAGAGCATATTAATTGATACCTTGAATTCCTCCTTGTAGGATCCTTTGTCAATGTCTTTTTCACCAAACACTGCTATGTTGCTAACCAGGCTCTCTGAAATTTGAATGATTTTCTTTTCTTTATCGCTGCCTCATCCTCGTAACAACTCATTGGTGTAGGATTACTGGAGGGAGATAAACTCTATATTTAAAGGTGGAGGCAAGCTGTTCTTAAGAAATTATTGTTATGCAAATGAGCATATTGTACTTTATGTAAGAGAATAAAACTAGGAGTAATAATTGATTATGAAGTGTGTTTGTGGGGACGTAATTTGGCTTCTGGAATACTTAGGCTGGTGAACATTTGCAACCCATTAAGAAACAGTAAAAGGTGTGGCAATAGACAAAATACTCGAAGGATGTGCAATGCAAATTCCTCTTTAATGAAAATTACTTCACAGCATAGCAGAATGAATGAAATTGAAAGGGGAACATGTTATTTTGACAAAGAATCAGACCATTATAAAAAATTTGTCTTTGCTTGAGAAGCATCTCAAATGGGATTTACAAAAGGGAAGTGCTTAATTGTAACTGATAGCTACAGGTCTAATCAAAACGTGAACCTTGAAATGGAACTGAGAGTAATTTTTCACTGGCTGAGTGAAATGAAATAAGTGAAAAATGTTTTCTCACACACCGTTGGGGCCTGGGTATAGGTCATGTGACCTATTGGGCGGGCAGTTGTTTTTGTTGCGTCCGCCATTGCCAACTTTATTGCGTTGTTCCGACAAAAATCCACTCACTAGTTAGGTCAATTTAAGTTTTTACTAATTGCAACCTAATGGCAAAAGACAAAACAGGTCATGTTCTGGTACGAGTTCTCGAGCTCTCAGACGTCTTGAACCATATAATGCAAGCCCAGGCAACTGCGAG